CCCCAAAACCCCAAAACCCCAAAACCCCAAAACCCCAAAATAACTCACTTTTGGAATAATTTAGTAAAATATGAGTAATGAGTATGGCTACAGGTAAGCATATAGGTGACCTATAGAGACATCAAACCCCTTAGTACAATTATTGGCAAGAACTGCCTCATGAGTATGACCTTGATAACATTTTAGGAACGAATAAATAAGAAACATCTGATTTCACAATGTAACTTTGGATAGTTATATTTAGACGCTAAAGAATACTCAAATATAAAAACAGGACTTATCGAAACAACCAAATCTTATCTGAAAGCTAGGAGGACCAAAGATTATCAGTCTCTAAGAGATATCAACAGGAGTGTCAATCTGAAATAGCTCTGCTAGTACGACTTTGATTAATGCTGAACCTTCATAGATATTGGCACAAGTCCTATGAGGATAAAAGATGGCTACAAGAAATATCGAAGGTGCTTTTAACATTTAACAATTTAGAAGCTTCAATAAGTCATCAGTAATTCGACATAAAATTAATGGAGATTTGACACATGAGCTCTTTCTGAGCGAAAGTTCAACATCCCAGTTAGAAAACCCCAAACGGAAGAAGAGACAATACAAGGGCAGCTTTATTCATCTCAATAATGAGTATAACGAAATCGAGGATATCAAGGAGGATGGTAGGACTTCCCGTAATAAAGAAAAGAAAGTGATCACTTTGCTACCTAATTGTAAGTCATAGAAGCCATGCTATAGCATTTCTCCCTGTGGCCCAGAAGCAGTACAAAATTATGGAGGATTTTGAGCCAAAAATCAGCTCTAAAGTTAGAACAATTGTGTAAACAAATAGTTTCAAAAACTCAGACTCAAAATGAAATAAGTGAAGTAGTAAGATGAGCGCCAAGATAGATACCAAGGATGGATTGTCATTCTCCAAAATAGATTCTATGAAAAGGTACATCATATTTCTGAGATATCAATAGAAATAATTCAGGTGTGGAGTTTGTGAATTTGGAGAAATCAGACTCTAAAGTTCTTAAAAAATCATTCAAGACACAGCAAGAACTGATGAATAATATGAAGCTACCTGTGTCTTTATACCAGTAATTTCATGTTCAATGTTATAGGAACAACACGTTTGATAATAGTAGGAAAACAAATGGCAAAGCTTTTGGAAAACCAAGGCATTCAGATGAAGTTGTGCAGAAGTCGTCTGAGAAATCATTTAACAGTAAATTTATGATGAAAATCAATAGAATCAAGCACTTATGAAGCTCTTAAGATCTTTAAGGCAGATGAGGGAAAGTCAATGATAGATGTAAGTGAGATTATGACTGACTTATAGCGTTTAAATGAGAAAATCAAAAGTATTCTCTCTTTCTCAAGTATTATCCGCTCACCAATATAGGAATGCATAATTATGATATTGAGAAGAAGATAGCCAAGAAGCATAGAATTCAACTTAAACAACCTTCTACAAGGTATTTTGGCACTAAAGTTGTAGGAAAAAGAGTGGCAGAACTTCTTTGAAGAAAGTTATTCTCTCTAAATACTCCCCTCGGCATGTGCTTGATGAGATGGAAGATAGTAACTTAGGCATTGGAACTAACGATATATAAATATTTCAGTATATCCAAATTTATAAGGGGTTTTGGGGTTTTGGGGTTTTGGGGTTTTGGGGTTTTGGGGTTTTGGGGTTTTGGGG